AGTGCCGGTCCTCCCTAAACACATAGTATGCATGTTGCGTAGGGCCCCCAGAAGTCTAGGACCAGCTCTGACGTCAGTACATGATCAGTTCTGATGCAGCCAAGGCGGTTTACAGACACAAGCGTAGCAGCTAATGCTGAAGTTACAGCGACTTCTCAAACCATCTCTCCTGAGCTAGATTACACAGGGAGTTGTTGCAGCTTCCACTAGAAGTGCAGGTGTTTAGGGAGGCGTCAAGATGAAATTACACAGGCCAGAAGAACACAAACAGCTCCGGGATCGGCCGAGAGAAACGGCCACAGAATCCATCAGCTTGTCATTCATTGTGTAAGAGGGTCTGTCGTAACTGCGATATCACAGAGCCGTTTGAGCTCTTAAGCGCTGCTATTGCGGCCTATTACTGGCTGAGTGTTATGAGCTGAGCTATAAGCCATCTGTAGGAACGATTCTTCTCACGTCACGCCATAAACTCTGCTGTAATCGGGTCTGAAATGTGTGTGGGAGTGTTTTGTGAAGGATCTTGTTTGTGTTTACATGCATACTGCTTCTAGATGAAGTGTTTGAAGCACCTACGAGACCTTGACTCTGATCAAGTCAACATTAAATTAAAATTCACCCTGTTTAGTTGCTTAATGCATGCTCCTGTTCTTGTGAATGCCTTTTGAAGTCAAAAGATAGATTTATTAGTATAGTGCTTTTCACATTTTATGTTGTTTCAAAGCAGCTTCACAGAAAATCATGATGTGAATGTTTAATATCTTAATATACCCTTACGAAAAAGAAGTTTATTCAAGTGTGCTATTAGTATACTTCTTTTAAACTAAAAATAGGAAAGTATACTTTTAGTCTACTTTTTATGTACTTCTCAGAAATATACTTAAAATGACATTTAAGTATACTTGACTTATACTTAGAAAAAGTCTAAATATATTTCAGCTATAATTGTGCTCCAAAACCTGTTAACGGTAAGTTCGTAAGTAACGGTAAGACATTTTGAAGTAGAAAAACTTAAACATTAAAACACTCCAATAACCATTGTTTTAAAACTTCTAACATTTTTTTACAAGTTACAAAAAAATCCAGTATTATTCACCAGATGTTCCTGACTTTCAAGCTCTTCCTAATAGATACCATGCATTTTTACTGAGGGTGTTAAACTACACACACATAAGAGCAAAACTCCACCTAAAAACTATAGAAAAACACACCTCTGACTGAGAGTAATACTTAACGTGCCAATGCAGTTGACATGCAGCTCGACCCGTTTGCATGTCTGCAGTGGACAGTGTAATGCAGCTGATGCAAAAGCGCGTTTATTCCCTACAGTCCTGCCTGAGGTATTATGATCTGACTGTGTTCAGATCCTGACCTGTTACTGACCTTGATGGAGTGCTTTCATAGGGTACAGTGTGTCTCTGAACGATCTACAGCACGCTGGGAAAGATCCTGTTGTGGTAAAGTGACTTGGCACTGCCTTCAAAATTATACTGACCAAGGTTTGTCTGAGTGCCAAAACACATTTTTCCAAAACACACTGGAATGCTTGCACTTTACTATAGTATATTTCCCTTTTAAGGACACTGGCGATGGATCAGAAGGAGCTGGAATCTCAATCTAAAGTATGTTGTGTAATATTACATATAGGTTTATGCTTAAAAGATTCTACCTGAGATAAATCCTGATGCTTAGGAAATGCTTTCAATATCGCCTGCAATGTGCCTCATCCCATATGACACATTTTCTGGCCAAAATATATTTGAAATATATGCTAAATATATTTATAAGCGGTGAAGCTCAATGAAATATATTTTTGAAATTGAAAATATATTTAGTTTCAACCTACATATACTAAAATATATTTCAAAATGTATACATTTCAATTTTGACAGTGGCCATATAGCCAATTTACAATGATTTAATAATGTTGAATATATATATATATATATATATATTTTGATTGAAATATATGGAGGGCAAAATACATTTTAAATGCTTTTTAAAAATATGTTTTTGAAATATATTTTTAAAATATACTAAAAATACATTAGTAGAAAATATATTCATGTAAATATATTTTGGAATCTATTTTAGCAAATATTTTTTGTGTGTTTGTAATTTGAAATATATATATATATGGGCATTATAAATCATGTGGACTTTCAATTTTAATATGCATCATTTATTTTCTTTTATGCCCTTAACATATACATGTTTGGAGTCACTCCAGACAATAGCAAACATTTATCGGGTCACTGTAATGAAAACATAGTTGTGTTCGTCCATGACTGTGGAACCAGGCCTAGTGCGTACAACCAAAACACACGATCGAAGTCGAATAACCTGGTTGTTCTCATGTGATATGCTTAAATTGCTACCAAAATAATTCCCACTGCCAAAACATACTTGAGACAAGCAGATGGTGCTCTATCTGCGTCCACGCTGGCATCAGCGAAGCCTCAACCTGCAGTATTAAAAATAAACAAGCGCACATTGTGAATGC